CCACACAAAAAACATAAAAAAATAAAAAGCACCAAGTAACCCAGACAAAGAAAAGCCTTCTTCAACTCATTTTCCATCGACTCATTCGATGCAATTCGACTCATTTTCCATCTCCAAACCCTGACACCCCCCCAGAAAAGACTCAAACCCTCCACCCAAAAAGGAAACCTGACCGCCGCCACCACAGGCCCGAACGACCGCAATGAAACGACCTCTGGACGTGCACTCCCCAAAGCTTGCCACGACCACTCGCACTACCGGTCCGTCTCCTAGCCGCGACCGCACCCTTCCCACCTTTTGTTAAAGCCCCCAAAAGACCCTGCCAAACCTCATTTGAACTCCACGACATTCCCCGAAAAAGAAAGCGACACTAAACGACAAAAAGCAACTGAGGTAAGTGCAGCCTCTGGCTGCGAACATCACTCTCGACTATTAGCAGAAGTGAGAAGAGCAGCCTCTGCTACTACGGGTAGTAGCCTGGGACCTGGGTCCATGGTGCTCCGATTTATTGGTGAGGAGGGTCATCCGCTGGAAAGGGGGTCCATCATATCCCTAAATTTGTATGGAGTTTGGAAATGAGACCTCAAAATGTTGTGTTGGACAGTGGGGGACTGCTTCATCGACTTGAAAAAGTCACATGATGCTACTGTCTATCTTAGCAGACCTTCCGTCTGCTGAATAAATGGTAATATGGTATGAAAAAAGAAAAATATGAAAAAATAGTTTTTTTTTTTTTTTTTTTTTTTTGGGSGGGCCGGGGGGGCGCTGTGTTTGTGGGTAAAACGAGTTTGTGCGCCGGTCCCCCGCCGCTGAAAATTTGGCACCACATTGACACGGACGCCGAACCCTACTATATATACCACAGCCTTAGGGCCAGATCCCACTACCGTCTTCCCCCGAACATAAATTGAACATAGGCAAGCTATATTTCCGGTCGGGTATAGCCAAGATGAGGGTGCGTTGTGTTCGGGGGAAGACGGTAGCCCCTATTGTTCATTTGTGACCGTTGACCTTCGTAATCGAGGGTGAAAAATGAATAATCCACGGTAGTGGGATCTGACCCTCGGCTCTGAGGAACAAGAACTCGAGTTTATGCTGGGGGTTCCTGAGCATGCGCGGCGGGTTTATCACTCTGGAGGACAACTACAACTTGATCCTGCACCTGGTCCTTGCTTATGACCAGCTCCCGCTCCTTCTGGACCAATTTCAGGCCGGACTGTCTGTGTCTGTTCCTGTAACTTCTTTCCCAACCTAGGACAGATACTCTCGCCTGTCTAGAAGTCCCTTCACCACTGCCATTTGCAAGTCCTCCTCCTCCTCCTCCTCCTCCTCCTCCCTCTGCTTGTTGCAGTTGCAGTTCATGATCACTCGCATTACGGCTTCGACGATGTCCTAACATCCGGGACCTCCGCTTGTGTTCCACTACTGACTGTCTCTTGTTCGGTTGCTCGTCGCTGGCAGGAGGATTGGGGTGCGAAGGATAGGAGGTGTCGCGGCCGCCGTCTTGTCCTTGTCCTTGTCCTTGTCCTTGCTTGATGCTGGTTGGGGCACCTGGCATCTCCGATAGCCGCCGGCTTTGGCGTCTACTTCGTTGTTGTTCCGCCAGTGCCTTCCCGGACTGGGTAATGTTCCAGTCCGAGAAGGAGCTTGGGCCCGACACCCTGGCAGAGGAAGACCGCCGGCCTCCTCCTCCCATCGGAATGGGGTTCAACTTCCCGCCGGAGGGGTTATTATTATTATTATTCGCGCACCTAGGGAGTCTGATAGTCAGCAGACCGAAGAAGCCGATGACACGCAGCCATCGCGGGAACCCCCGAGTCGTGTGGACTGTTCCCTGGCCGCGGCACTTGCGGCAAACTCCAGCAGGTACGGTTCTTCCCCGCGCTCGATGCTGTGGCAGCCCCACACCCGTCCCTTGGCAGCGCGAGCAGTCCTTCAGCTGCCCGCACAGGTTCCTTGCTCCTAGGCCCACTAGACACGACGTAACGATCGTCAACACAAGCACGAACATCAGCGCCGCCACGATGGTCGACTGATTGAAGAACCGGTAGTGGTAGGGGCAGCTGCAGTGCGGCCAGCTCTTGTTCACCCCCACGTACTGGTACGCAACGTTGATGTCAACAACATCTCCCGCTGCCACAGCCTTGACGGGTCCCACAGTGATCACCGACTTAAACTGGCCTTTCGCCTTGGCTGTCCCCTTGAAGAAGCGCTTCTCCATCGACCAGTCGGCCGTCGTGCGCGTCTTCAACCCAGGTCGCTTGTGACGGACGCTCACGGCAGGGTCGCCGTCCAGAGCGAACTGCAGTACGACACGCGCTAGCAAGCTAGCGAAATTCCAGTGCCAATCGGGCAGCGAGATGGTCAAGAAGTACTGCCGCCTCGCCCCCCACGATCGATCGCACGAATGCAGCATCCTCGTCTTGGTATAGAAAAGCGTGTAGTTGACGGGGTTCTTGGTCAGCCCCCAGTGCCATTCCAGCGAGCAGGTGGGGAGACTGAGGGAGACGGGCACTCGTTGAAACCGAGAAAGAGTCACGACCTCCGAAAGAAGGCGCCTGAACAAACTGATGTCGGTGACGTTCTCACCGTGCCTGCATCCCACCACGCGTTCGGCTTTGGGCGGCAGGTTGTCCATGTACTCAAAGCGCGCCGTCTCCGTCACTATCCCGTCGCACGACCATGGCTCAATCTCAACCACTATCAAATAGATCGGGCCAAAGTATGCTGAAGGGGATTGAGCGTTTGCCGTGGAAATACTACTATGACCTCCCTCCTTTTCCCACAGCATCATCACCGCCAGCAACACCATTTTCATCCTCAACATCATCATCGTCATCGTCATCGTGGGCATTCAATCAATAGTATCAAATCAAGTTAGTATTACTATCAGCCATTTTATCCTAAGAGCTCGCCGCTGTCGTGATCCTCATTTCCAATGGTCACAACGATCGCCAGACGTCTGAAGACCTTGACCATCATCCTCATCATCCTCATCATCCTCATCATCCTCATCGTCATCATCCTCATCATCATCATCCTCGTCATCCTATGTATAATTAGCATGCAATCAATCATCACTAACAATCATCAATCATCATCATTCGTCCACCCGATCAGCCGCACTTAACAAACTACCGTCCATTGCAATCAATCCAATCATCACTAACAATCATCAATCATCATCATTCGTCAAAGTATCATCCATCCATCCTCATCAATCGTCAATCAGCAATCAGCAATCAGCAATCAGCAATCATCAGCCATCAGCCATCAGCAATCAGCAATCAGCAATCAGCAATCAATAATCAGCAATCAGCAATCAGCAATCATCAGTCATCATCAATCAGCAGCAGCGCCATCGCTAACAACCGTCATCATCAATCATCAATCATCATCGTCACGGCATCGCTGGACTGTTCTCACCGTCGATCCTGGAGAGGCGCCGAAGCGTGTAATCCTCCAGGTAGACCGAATATTTAAGCGTGCGACTTGGGTGATCGGAGGTGGTATTAGTACTACCAAATGACTTGTTCACCATCGCCGTCATCATCAGCAGTAGCAGGAGGTAAAAAACCCCTCATCAATCGTTACGATCATAATCACCATCCTGAACGGCAGCAGCATCAAAATAGCTAGCCGTATGCAAGGGGTCTCAAAATAGCTAGCCGACACCTACACCAGCATCTGCATCCTCATCTCGATCACCCCCATAATCGCCATCCTCGGCAGCAGTAGCAGGAGAAGGAGCACACAATGGCAGCAACTCCCAACCCTTTTTTTTTTTTTTTTTTTTTTTTTAACCCCACTAATGCTACAACTCCAACTCTTTCGACAGGGCTTGCGGAACTGGCCTGCAATTAATGAAGATCAGACACTTATGATCCGTCACTTGGACACAAAGTACATCCACAACGCCCCACTTGGACATACAGTATGTCCAAGTGGAGGTGACCAAACGTTCCCATTGGTGAGCTTGACTACCTTCATGCCCCGAATACAACGTACGGTCATTATAGCTGTATGTGTGAGGCATCTTTCAGTTTAGATACAGCTATAATGACCGTACGTTGTATTCGCGGGGGGAAGAAGGTACTAGGTTCTCTCAAGCCTTCCCCGCCTGCCTGCAGCTCTTCGTCCGTCCTCTGCTTCTCCATTGCCTTGGCACCATTGCCGCACCATTGCCGCACCAAATGTGCGACCATCTATCTTCACCTAAGGAAGGTACTACCTACCAGCCGTTGCTATAAAGATATAGAGAGCGCACAGTTCTTCTCGGATATTCATCCCAGCTGCCTCACCTGCAAAATTGCTGACGAACTTGCCCACACTTACAGTCCAGGTGCACGCTTCCCTGCAAAGCCGCCTCTTGACCTGGTTGACAAATACAGTAGTCAGGTGAGTATATCATATACCCACCGCACGCAGTGACTCTCTCTCTCTCTCTCTCTCTCTCTCTCTCTCTCTCTCTCTCTCTCTCTCTCTCTCTCTCTCTCTCTCTCTCTCTCTCTCTCTCTGACTCATGACTTGTGGTGTTGCTCGGATGTATCGTCGTATCGAGAATTTTGGTGATTGCCGGACAGTTTAGTGCACTGTGCAGTGCCGCGGTCAGTTGGGTCACTCGTTATCAAAGAGTGCAAGGACAGTCCAGCCTCCACATTAGAAGGACAGCGAATGCATCTCGACTTTTGCCTGTGCCTGATATGGCGTTGGGGCTCTTGCCTTTCTTTCTATTGATGCTGGACGTTGCGCGCATTGCCAAGTGTTCATAGATCGATCACCCTCAGAATGACGCGGAAGCTTTGTTCGCCATAGTGCTGCCAAAGCTTTGATCTCCAGAATGGTGGATCAAGGGACAACATTATACACAACCGTTATTCTCTCCCCCAACTCCCCCCCCCCCCCCCCCCCCCCGCGATTCCC